TATATCCACAGGTGGTACTGCCTCTGCCCAGGCTAATATGGAGTACCTGAAGAACATAGGAGTGGGAGTGGCGGCCATGTTGAACCCCTTTGGTAAGTTCCCTACTTTTTGGCCTTTCCCAAACATTGTGTGTTCTAACACACCATCCGGATACTTCATTGTTTGGCATGCTAGCTAAACCCTTCAAAATAAAAATGCTTCTTCCTTTGCAGGCATAGATGTGGACATCGACATAGAGCATGAGGGGAAGCGGGACAAAGCTACACCAACGCCTCCTGCCTCCAGTGGGCCACCTAGTGCTCGGAGTGAGAGTGGCTCCAGAGGGTCTGGTCCAGGAAGTCAAGCCGCTGAAGACAGCATCAGTGAGGGAACAAGGGTAAATCAATATCCAAGCAGTTCTGGAATGCGTGATAGTATACAGGATTGTGGTGTCTCGAGTTTTCAAAGCATAAATTCAGAAGTGAGAGATTGAGAAGCTACATTCTGTTAACGTTCATTCCTTCTATCCTAGAAGCACAGAGAACAAGGCAGTGATGAGGAATGGACTCATCTCGGCTCTAAAGAGGTGGACCCCTCCACAGGAGAGCTGCAGTCCCTTAGGATGGAGGTGGATGGGACGGATCTTCCAGCCCCGCCAAGTACAGACTCTAGCACAAGCGCCTCACAGGGTCCCACTGGTCTGCGTGAGGCAGCCATCTACCCACACCTTCCTCAAGGTATAGTGTATCGTCATTGGGCCGAGTCCCAGTGGCAAATTCCAGTCCACTTCACATGGATTTAAGCAGCTTAATTTTAATGTCCTCTTCCTCAGATGCAGACCCCAGGCTGGTGGAGTCCCTTTCTCAGATGCTCTCCATGGGCTTCACAGATGAGGGTGGATGGCTGACCAGACTGCTCCATACCAAGAACTTTGACATCGGAGCTGCCCTGGATACCATCCAGTACTCCAAACCCGGCCCACAGAAGTAGAGAAGGTGCACAGGAATAAAGAAGACCTGGGCCATACCTAATGCTGTTTGAAACTTCTGGCCTATTTTCTATTAACAGTCTTTGCATACTTTTTCAATGACATTCTTTACATGTTATCAACAATATTGATTACTCAGGTGACAAGCACGTAGTTAAGTTCATTTTTGGACTTGCAAAATGGATATATTCAACATTTCTGTTATTAGCATTACGCTTCATATTATTAAGATCATAGTCATCATATGTGCATATTACATTTATAAGTAGTGACCTACATTTGTGTGATTTCTCTATTTTAATTTACATAACCAAGAGTTGGACGAAGCAGAAACCTGGGGGTATTTTTATTGTTAGTTTGAATAAGCAGATGGAATCGGGTTAATGTTCCTGTAGGTCTTCTAAAATGCCTGTCCTTTCTATACACAATAAAATGAAAAAAAAAA